CTGCCTGCCCCTGCTGTAGTGGCTCCCAACAGCAGCTGTGTCCACTGTTATCAGTTGTTTAACTGATATAATTAGAGGAGCTTAAACAAATATTTTTTAAACAATATTTATATCCCTAGCTCACAGCTGGCTGGAGGAAGGAGGTGGGGCTGGGATCAGAGGCTGTCACTGATTTGGGTCGGCCAAGGAGGTGGGGCTGGCCTGGTCCTTGGGCAGTGCAAAGGAGCTCTGCCCAAGGCTAGAGCAGCAGCCCTGTGCAATCTCACTGTACAAGTTAACCCTTGATGGGATCTGGCATAAATGTTCAACAAAGTGCTCTAACAGAAAGTGCTTAAGTCTAACACCTCATCCATCAAGGGTTAACTTAGAATGCTTTAAAAATGGTGAATTGTGCTCTAAGAGCTGTGAACATCTGTTCAGTTATGGCTTTAGAGTGGTTTCTGCATGATTAAAGTGTGATACTTGTAACATCTGTATCTTGCCTATGTTTCTAACAATTAGCTTTTAAACCTTTAATGTTACTTTCTATTTTCTTGCAATAAGTTAAGTTCAGGTATTTTTGCAAAAAACTCTCAGCAACTTTTCTCAAAAGATACTTTAGGAAACAAATTCTGCTCAAGGCTGTAACTTGCTTAACTGGTTTGAAAATTCTAGGAAAAGAAAAAGTTTACTGGAGAAAAACAGGGAAATCAAATGCAACACCATCTGATATCTGTCCTTACGTCACTTGGCGACGTGTACATGGCTTGATGCAGATGCTGTATTGTGCTGTGTAGACACACTCTGAACATTCTTGTAATACCTGAGTTATTCTGTGTCCTCACTAAACAACACATGAAGTCTGTTCCTGCTACAATACTTACAATTCCTTCTGTCTGAATGGTGGCTGCTGTTGGAGGTGGTGGTGATGGAGGATCAAATTGGGAAGGAGGGAGCCTCCCAGGCACACTGGAACTAGTATCTTCTCTTCTGCTTACTGCATCTATTATTAGAAACACAAATTCAAGCAATGAGCATGGGACCTAGAAAACCCTAAGGAGAGAGATGAGTCATAGTAAAACCTTACTGTTCCTTTGGGATTTGTGTATAATCTAATTAAAAGGATCAGTCTACTCTTATGCAGATACTCTTCCTGTATTTCTACTCTATTCTCAGAAAGGTGCAAATATCATGACACCAAATCCTCTGTTACACCCACTGTCCCTTTGCTCTTATCATAGTATATGGAGCATAGTGGGGAAAGGTGACGTGTTGGAGCTCTGCTACACCAGTATAAGGTCCTTTAGGGAATCTATGTTAGTAGGATAAAAGGCTACTTCACTAACAAGAGACTTAAGCAGCTGCAAGTGCAGGGAGGCATAACTGACTCTCAGTGGCACCATACTCCTGCACTATGGAGCTCAAACCCAGAGAATACACCTGTTCTCTTTTCTAAAGAGGTTTGCCCTTTTCCTTCCACGTGTGCAATCTTTGTGAAGCAGCTAGGGGCACATTCTCATTTACTTGCTTGCCCTCACCTCTGATTTGTAGGGCAGACTTTCATAGTAGGCAGTGATATTTTCATTATTCCATAGACTACAGTGACACCGTGTGGTAGTTGTAATTTTGTCACTCAAAGTTTTAGAACAAGCTATACTTACTAGTTTAATCCCCACTTAAATGCTTTTTTAACCAACCAATGGGAGTAATGCAGTGAGCAGGACATGTCCCCAGTCTCAGGAAAGAAATGAAAACACTCACAAATTTTTTTTTGCTTTTGCTTGAACATAGGAAGAGCCAATATATACTGTAGGCCCAGTGCATACTACTTATAAATGTAACTTATAAATGTTTTCAGTAGGTTTGGATATTTGACCAGGCAAATAAAGTTCAGTCAACTGACTGGTCAAAATTGTAAAAAATTGCCAATAGGTCCATATAATACACAGAAAAAAGCACAATTTTTCCATTAAAAAGTGTCAAAAATATAAAAATTATATTTCTGTCAAATAAACTACAGAGGGTAGTTTTTTTGTAAAACTGCTCTAATCTATGATTGGTCAAAAAATATGCAGCCAATTGACTGATCAACTGACAATAATTGACTGGTCAATTAACCGGTTTGCCAACCCTAGTTTTTAGTAATGACATATATGTGCTCTTTCGCTGATGTCATTTTCTTTAAAGACTCTTTTCTCTGTATATATTTACAGTACTGTTTGCAATATCATACAGTAGGGTTTTATATTAGTCCCAACATATCTAAATGTATCTATTAGGGGCATTATGCATGGATAATTTTCCAAAAATCAAACGAGGAGGCCAAATTCTGCTCAGAAATATGCACCTTGAGTCCCTATTGTCATTGTATGTATGCCTAATGGCTGGCTTGGCCCAAAGTCTCTGAGCAGATCTTTTCTAATCCAATCTAAACCCGTCTACCTGAAGATATTTAACATCCTTAATGCTATTGAGCCCCATCAACGGTTTTATTTACAGGTTCTAATGGCCTTTTCCAGGCACTTTCTCCTTAGTATTTTGCCAGAAATTTTGAGTCTTTACATCCATCCTCCTTCCACAAACAATTAATTATCAATAAGTAACTGGGGAGATGTATGGTAAGCTACAGAATCTGTAAATTTCCATGCACTACAAGAGCCGAGTTTCTTCATTTATGATGCTTATAATCATGAAACATTAAAAACATTGTACAGTGTATATCTGATAAATAGAAAACACACTTTATTTTTGGAAAGTGCACTGGAAAGGCTCAGAATGTGGAGTTTTTAAGTCCCCAGTTCTAATTTGATTTTAGTAGAGAATGTTCTTTAGTTTAATGCCTCGAGTTTGAGTTTGTTTTACCTAACTGAATCCTGCTCGCTAATAAACAAATTTGAGCCTGAATGCTCCCAACATTGTTTTAAGTCTGTTTGCTCTGTTGCTGCAGAAGCAGCCACCTGGTGAATAGGAGCAGCTGAGGTTAAATCCCATTCCCAGAATTCTGTTAACACTGAAGCTTCAGAAGGCAGTGGATGAAATATGCTATTAGCTTGTGTTCTAGAAGATGAAAGGCCACAAAATGGAAGCCAGAGAAGTGTTATTTTTCCAAGAGATAGTTCAGAACTGTTACTTTTCACTGAGTTAAGTACTGAAGTACCTGGCAGTATCCTTGCCATTTATTTTCAAGTTTCACCATTGAAAAATAACTCCATTAAAAATCTACCTGACTAAGAAGATTCCTAAGATTTAAATATATGCTGCTTATCTATATCCTCACTCTGAACAGTAGTAGATATAAAGTGAATTTGGTATCACACATACCCTAGCATGCAAATTGGCCACCTAGTGCATGCTGTGCTCTGGCTACTCAAGAGACTGAATGCTTGCTATATTGGGTACTCACATTCATTGCACAGCCCCACAGGGTGGTGCAGTCACTCAGGCAAATACTTGTGTTTTACCTCCTCCCCTTCACTATTTTTCTCCCCTTAATTTACTGCATTACATCTACATTTAAAACTTGAGGCTGTTGAGGGATGGATCCTGTCTTCAGATACTTCTGGACATCTAAATACACCTGCTAACAATTTAGGTTTAATAACTGAAATTATATAGCTAAGGCTACATCTACCCTACCAATTTCAGCCAGCACAGCTAAACTGGATTGGGGTTTTTAGAGATGCAAATAATACAGCTGTGCTAGCAGAAGCCCCTGATGTAGACAGCTATACTGGCAAAGCTGCACTTTTACTAATGCTAGTAGTTTCACTTCGGGAAGTGGTTTTGCTTTAGCTCTACCACTAAAGCTGTACCCATAAGAACAGGAAACTGCCAATATTGGTATACAGCACTAATGTAGACATAACCTAAGGAACTTTATTGCCCTTGAAGCTCTAAAACAAGTGGAATTAGAAGAGGGAAGGAAAACAGCTGGCTGGGAAAAGAATGGCCACCAAACCATCTATATAGTCTCTTAAAAACTGCAATATGTTGCTGAAGAATCAACCATTAAGGTATTCTTTACTTACACTTCCAAGGGACTCTTAATCATGTAGTCACTGTATTTTGAAAGTAAGTGATAAATTGATCCCATAATAAGTATGGTGTTTTCATTCTTGCTATTTAAATCCCCATAATAAAAATGAAAATATTGCTTAAATGAGGACAAATAAGTCCACCCACAGCTACCTGAAGCACTAACCGTGATCTGGCCTACTTTCTTTGCCTTGAAACATGGTCATTGCTTCCAAATTCAGAGCACACACCCCACGCATAAAGGCTTTCTTCATGGTGTCTTCATATTGTTCTCTTTCACTATGCAGTCTCAGGATTTCAGCTTTTGCCTCTTCCAAAGAAGTATTTAGCTATAATAAAGAAAACTTTATCTGTGAACACAAGGAAACCCCCCAAATCCTCAACTAGCTTTTAAAATACCAAATATAGTAAAAGCTCTGTTAACTGGCACCTTACAAGCTGGCATGTTCTATTATCTGGCATGCTGGCTTGTAAAAGTGAAACGGGAAGTGCCCACCGTGGCACTTTCAGTTTCTCTGAGCCCTCATAGCCCAAGGCATAGCATGCTGCACAGGGCCCACCTCCCTGTCCCTTGGGGCCTGCGGGACGGTCGGCAATGCCGCGGACGCGGTGGGAGAAGTGGTGGCTGAACAGGCAAAGACTCCTGTTCCGGGTTCTCAATTAACTGGCATATTTTATTATCCAGCACCCCCCATTCCCACTGGGTGCCAGATAGCAAAGCTTTTACTGTAGCTCATTTTCTCAATGTAATATTTCCTTGCAAAAGTCTGTTGTGCTAGGAAGAAGATAAAACATGTAGTTCCCATAACTAGTGAACACACCTGATAAGGAGAGAAACCTAGGAACTGCCATACTTAAACAGACTAATCATCTCTGTAGTCTGGGAATCCATCACCAACCATACCAGAACACCTATAATACAGTCTAGCTGTACTATAGAATACTTTGGTGGAGCAGGAAAGAGGCAGTAAATATTGCTAGCTAGGGTCAGCAAGAAATCAGTTTAATTTTATCTTCTGATGGTAGCTTTTCTATTGTAACATAAATATAATTTGCATTGTTATTGGCATGAACAGCCCATTTCTTTAAAAAAACAAAAACTCCAAAACACCCCCTTCCCCCCGCCCTTAACTGCATCCACACTGTATCAGACAGCTATCATTTTTACAGCCATCTATAAGGGGATGGGGCTGTCTGTGTTGGTAAATGACAAACTCAGTTATCCATCCAGAAAGCAGTAGATTAAGATGTTTTTTCCTTTTGTTATATTTCCAAAGTGAAAAGTACTGTATTTTTCAGATAGAATTTTCAAAAACATGAGAGTTATTTAGGAGTGTAAGTCTCATTGACTGTCACACAGAAAGGACTTAGACTCTTGACACTTTTGAATCAACAGTCCCTCCATATAAGCTGCAGTCTTTAAGTTCTTACATACAAAATGACTACATAGTTGTAACTACTGGGATAGGAGTTAGTAGTTATTTCATTGTGACTGGGGCTGGTTAAATAAATCTGTAACTCTCAGGAGTATGTCTACCCAACACACTGCAGTATTGTGCAGAGACGCCAGAGCTCTGAACAAGTTAATCTGGATAGTGTAAGCAGTGAAGCTCCAAACGAGCTAATCAGTCCTGCAGAAGCAAGGTGTATTCATGTAGG